AAATACCGCTAACAATGTTAAATTTAGTCAATTATAGAAAGTCATATGTTAGATATTTGAAATATATATGATAACAAATTGTTCCTTTTTTTTATGAATATTGAATCTGATGCATGAATTACGACAAAATTATTGGTCTATTAATTCAATCTCAAATCAAAAGATTTCATTAACAATTCAAATTCAAAATCTAAATCAAGATACCTAAACAAACATATCCGAACAACAATGCTACTTAAAAGAGGAACTCAAAAATCAAGCCCATTTTTTTTTTCCCTATTTCTTTGGATATTAACTAGTCGGAACTTTACTTAAGAGCTTTGACTTGGAGTGGAATTAGCAAGGCCCCCGCCAATGAAAACAGTCACCACCATCCAATCCCCCATTAGCACTTACCCACACCCCCTGAGCCAGTCAAACATATTAAGTTCATCTTTCATTTCACGAAGACCCGAACCATGCCCATGACCAAATCCAAAGGGTACAAAACCCGACTCTTTGTGGTATCGCGATATTTTTTATCAGAGTTTTTTTTATTTTATTTTTGAAATTGGGTTCTAAGTGTATTTTTTATGTTACTGTTCGTGGTTTTATTGGAATTATTATTGAATTGTTAAATTAAATGTTTCGTGTTACTATTTTTTTTAACTATGTTACTATTCAACTTACTGTTTTTGTTGAATATGTTATTGTTCATGTTACTATTATTTTAAGTATATTACTTTTTTTTTTAGCATGTTACTACTATTATTTTCTTAAATATTAATATTCAATGTTATTATTTTTATTTTTGTTTTTAAATATTACTATTTTTGTGTTTAAATTTGAGAGAGATAATTATTATTAAGTATGTTATTATTTTTGTTGAACATGTTACTATTGTTATTTTTTAAAAATATTAATATTATATGTTACTTTTTTTTATGTTTAAATGTTACTTTTTTTTTGTGTTTAAATAATATTATTTTTTATGTCTAAATAATAACCTTTTTTTTGTATTTGAATGTTATTATTTTTATTTTTAATGTTACTATATATATATTCCTAATTTATATGTGAAAATAGATAAATATGAGAGATAAAAATTTTTAATGTTAGTCAAACTCCTAAGTTTTATGAGGTTTTAATTTTTAGTTTTACTTTACTTATAAAAGAAAAGGATAGTCTGGTAAAATTGACAAAAAACGTACTTTATAATAAATAAATTTTCTTGGCGAACTTAAGTCCAAACAAGTCAATATAAGGGGCCAGACCTTCAAATTTCCTTTATTAAAATGGTAGCTCACTGAGTGACTAAATTTAGACTTTATCACCCCTTACCTCAAGACTGGGTGGCTAATCCACCAATTGAGTTTAGAGATCTGATTTTTTCCGATTGTAATCAATCTTTTACCAGTTGAATGAAAGATACTTTCCTTTTCAAAAAAAAAAATATATATATATATATATATATATGTCAATTTGATAGAGAAATATGACAAGGAGGACAAAAGTGGTTTAATATTTGAGCAAATTACATTTTACACATTAAAAGATTTAAGAAATTTTACTTTGTCCTTCTTGCACGGGGGCATGGAACAAGACAATATGGCACGCGACAAAGCCTATGTGCTTTGCCCAACACACCACATGGCCTTATCTAGCAATATCGTGTGCTTTGTTATGTTGTCGCATGTTGCCTTGTCATGTGATTTACCACGTGTTATTGTCAACGGTTAAATTTTTTATATTTACCTCTTAATGTATTAAAAGTATTGTAATATAATATTTTCGTTAGTTTTCTTTACTTATTTCGTCAATATCAACAAAATAATTTTTGATAGAATGAGCAATGAAAACTAATAAAATGACCGCATTATAATACTTTTAATATATTGAGAATATAATATAAAAAAAATAATTTTTAAAAGTACAAAATAAAAATTCTTAAATCTTTTAATGCAACTTTCGATTTCCCCTTAATATGGAGGCCATACATTGTAGCATGGCCAAAAAAGTATATATGTATTACTTTCTTCTCATTCCAATTCTTGAAAGGGATGTGTCTTATGCTCCGTTTAGTAAAAAAGATAGAGTAGAAAAAATATTTTTTTTATCTTTCAAAAAAAGAAAGTAAGAATGATATAATTTCCTTCTTTTATGTTTGGTAGAATGGATAGAAAATAAAAATAATTAATTTTTTTTTATGATTGGTAAAATAGAAAAAATATTTATTTTTATTTTCTAAAATTTTTATTTTTTTTATTTTTTTTTAAAAAGTATAAATACATATTTTATTATTGTATTTATATATGAAATTAATATATACATAATATAATATATATATATCAAAGATAAAAGAGACAAATAAGATATATTTTAACACAAATATAACTTTCTATTTTTCATTATTTTTTTTTTCTTAACAAACATAATATTTTATTTATTCTTATAACTTTCTATTTTTTTTCATTGTATTAAATGAAGCATTAGTGTTACAATAGCTCATGTACATATCAAGGTCCCCCATCTATATTGGCAAATGGAGAAACGGCATTGTGGCATATGCAAATTCTAAGTTTTCTGGTTATTATTTGAAATCAAAAATAAAAAATGAAATCATGTTCTATAAATATTTTCAAGAAATATATGTTCAATAGGGTTATTATTCAGCTCAAGTCACGGTGGTCCGTCGCTGAATTCTAAAAGATAATTGACGTAAATTTAAACACCCTATAACCTAAAATAGGCGTCTTTATCCTCTTTCTTTGGTTTTATGAATTGGTGTTGAATATTTCTTTTTAAAACTTATTCTTAATGGGTCTTGTAAAGGGAAAGGTGGAGGTGCCGTAGCACTCTTACCCCATCTTGAAAGTCAGAGAAAGACGGAAGAACTTATCATTTTTTTTGTTTTATACGGTCGAAGGTAGAGATGCCGTAACACTCTTTGCCCATATTGAAAGTCAGAGAAAGACGGATGAACTTATCTTTTTTTTTTGGTTTGTATGGTCGGGGGAATCTGAGAATTTGGGTCGATGTATGTATATTTTGATTAATTGTTTTTTGGTTCGAATAAAAGCAGGTCATTTGTACCAGAATTAGAATGTTCGTAAGGAATAAATTCATCCTGACCTGATCCTAATGAATTGTTAAGATTCAAACTTATGATATCTGAATTTACAACTCGTCTCTATTACCAAGACAAATATAGTAGTATAAAAATATATAACAAAAATTTTAGAAAGAATTACATTAAACCCTTTAATATTTAAAACATTATACACAAATCTCATAAATGTTTACATGCGTAACACTTAAACCCCTGTCGTCAATGTCCGTTAATATATCTATTAGTAAATTGTATCTAGACCCCCTAAAATTTGTAACGTGCAATACTTAGACCCCCTCAAGTTTAAAACATTATACTTAGATTAAAAATATTTCAATCAAAGATAGAATATCAAATATTTAAATGTTACAACAAAAATTCATATTCTATTATGACATTTATTGAAATAAAATTAAAATTAAAATTAAAATTAAAATTAAAATTAAAAAATCTAATTATTTCATAAAAAAATCATAATTAGTATATAATTAAACTACCAAATTACTCCAATTAAAGTTAGAATATATTATGTCAATCATAATTTGACCCCTTGTTTTAATTTTTTTTTGTTTTATTCTAATGGAAAGTATAATTGTATACTAATTACAACCCCTTAGGGGCTGTTTGATATGCGAGTTTGGAGGGGTTTTGAAACATGGGTTGGAGACTAAATCCCCTTAAACCAATGTTTAGTAACTACAAATTTAGTCTAGGGTTTGAAATCTGGCCCAATCATTAAATCCTTATTCATGGGTTTTATAAAATCCATGGGGGGGTTGGTTTCATATGTGGGTCTGGGGGTTTTAAATTCAAATGACATTTATACTCATGTTTGGATTAAATTAATTAAGGGACACAATAGTCATTTAAATAAAAAAATATTATCATAATAGTCATATATCCTTGTGCATATCAAACATGGGTATGGACAACATTAAATATTGAATCCCTTCTTTGAATCTCATCTTTTGTCAAATCCAGATTTGAACAAACCAATCCAAACTCTTCCCAAAAAACATATCAAACAGGCCATAAGAGCTACAATAAGAGATTCAGTTAAATACATGAATGCAAAAAGTAGAAAGTCCTAACATCATGTCCCCACTCCCCTATACAATTAAAACCAGATTTCACTTGATGAAGTATAGATTGCAAGTCTAATAGCAAAAAGCTTTTTCTGATACAGACGCAGGCTCAATGCACGATACTAGCCTTAACCTTGTTCGTGTTTGACAAAAGCTCCAGGCTCGCATCTATTCCTCAAAGTGGCTTATACCATTATTCTAAGCACCAGTTAAAATTTTTCTTAATGGCCACATTCCAAATGTTGGTTCATTAACCTCCAAAGCACAATGTTGATACTTAATTTTTCATTTTAAAAAATTACAATCTAAATTTAACAAAAAAAAAAATCAGAAAATGTAAAACTATTTAATAGAAAAAAACAGTAAATCTAAGTTTAACAAACAAAAACAGTAAACTGTACAAAAAAACAGAAAATGAATTCTGATATCAACAAGGACCTGTACAGCTGTTTTTGGGCCCAGAAAAATAGTTCCTGCCCTATCAGGTCAAAGAAATGCAGTTTCAGACCAACTCCTTCGTCATTCAGCTCAATCTGGAGAGGAAACTCCAGCTTTAGAAGGCTGCAGCCTGGGACCTGATGCAGCATCCATCAGTCTGATCTATGAGAGTCTCCAGCACAGCATCACCTCAGGATAGCCAGATCATCCCAAAGAAATTTAAAAAACTTCAAAGAGCTGGCTTTAATCCTTCAAAATGACTAAAACCAAATAACTTCTGTCACAGATCAGCTCCCTAAACCTCAAATACAGAAAAAATAGCCCATGCTGTCTTCAGAAAAACAGCTGCATCCATTCACAATATCAATCCAGCACTCAGAAAAAATTATTCACAGAATGCAGCTTCTGGTTTCTGCTCCAGAAAACCAAAGCAGCAACATCACAGCTGCTGCATTTATCTCCTGAAACATCATCTGTACAGCTACAACATCAGTCCCTAGTCCAGTGCAAAGTAATTCATACTCCAGCTCAGTGCAGTACTGTAGAGACAAATGCAGTCCAATGCAAAACAGAATATCAGTCCAGTGCAGACTGGAGAGTTCATCCTCCCACCCATAGCAAACAGATCCTGCTCAGTACGTTCCTTCTATACACAACATCCTTGTTCTGATGCAAAATCTGATTAGCAGCACTGATATCCAATTCCTTAAAAAAAAACTCCAAAGCCCTCCAAAGAGTCAACACTTAGCTCATTATTCCATTACAGACAGAACCTGAAACAGCAATGAATTGCCAGACAGCAAGACAATGGTCCTTATGCAACCACATATACATCAAAATATACAAAAATAAGGAAAGTCAAACATATATATATATATATATATATATATATACTAGTTCATCCGGAACCTCCTCCAAAAATACGGGGGGAAAGAAGGATATACAAAAACAACTCAAATCTGAACCTGACTTGCCAGTAGCCTTGTCAAACAGATTTTTTATCATTGGAAACTACTCAGCCCAATAGGCCAGTAGCCCAATCTACCTTGGTCATTCGGCCCGTAGTCGTATCAACCACTGTCAATCCACTAACCTTTACTCAAATGGCCCAACAGCCACCTGTCAGGACCACTAGTGCCATGACAAACCCATATAAGGCCTCACAACCCTTTGCAGCCCAATTAGGCCCAAAGGTTGATTATATCAAAGTCTATTCCCAGAATGTTCTAGCCATTGAACTAGCCCATTCTAAATATAAGGATCCAAAAGAACTTGTAAAGGCCTACCTCCCAAAAGGTTGGACCTATATTCCAGTAGACTTGGAAAAACCCCATAGTTTTTACCAAGATATTCTCTACTACACCAAATCTATCCATACTAAGCTCATCCTTGATAAGATTAACCCAAATAAGGTTCTCTATCATAGTTTGGTCATAACCAAGATTATTTCTGTTGAGGAATGGGGTTCTCATCCTTCTTTGCTCAGAGAACTTCCCTTTCACACCAGACATTTTAATTACTATGACTACATTGAGTCATGATCAAAAGTATTACTCTACCAAAATGAGGATTTGTCCCATTCTTGGTTCTAAAATTTTCATAAAGATTTCAAAAGTCATATTCCTGCATGGTTTAAACAGTGGTGGCATCAACATGGTCCCATTGATGAAATCTTTCCAGCTGATCTCAAAGATCAAATCAATATCTTCTAATCCTCTTACCGTCCTAGTAAACAGGAGTCCCCATTTCCCTTATTACTAATATTTATTTGCAGGTACAAAGTTCCCTGGATACTCAAATGGCAATGGAAAATTGTTGGATTTAATCTAACCCGGCAATTTTATGCCCAATGGTGGCCCAGGTTTCAGCATAATGACATTATTGTCATGGTGAAACAGGACTTCCCTGTAAGGGTCCCAACTCCTGTAGTAGTTCCAGGCCCCTTACAACCAGCAACACCAGTGAAGGAATTGCCCGCTCAATCAAGCCAGGCTAGCCTTCCTATAGCACAGACCAGACCAGAAGAATCTTCATCTAAGGGTTCTAAAGGCTCTAGCAAGAAGTCCAGCAAGAAGAAGCCCAAATCAAGACTCCTCAAGAAGCTCTTGGATCAACTTGACTCAGACAGTGACTCATCGTCTTCCCAAGGATCTTTCACAACAGATCTTCCTCCAGGATATGCTCAGGATCCGTATGAAGGAATAGAAGACTTTGATGTTGATGATCTCACTCCTGACCTTGCATGCCCGTGAATTATGGTTTACATAAAGTGGCTTCAATCACTACTTTCTTCAAAAGAGAAAGAAAAGTTGTCCACTCTGTGTAAAAATAATATCACAAGTCTGCATAGGATCCCCTTTCCCTAAAAAGCAGGATTCTCACAGACAAAAGCAGGGCCCATAATCTGCTTTTCCACTGAAAGATGGATTCTCAGGACAGACAGACAGGACCCACTAGTCCCTTCAGCATGTCCTAATTACCCGGGTAAAAGAATCTTACTCCACTTTTCAGCCGAAAGCAAGAAAGTGAATTCACTTTACCCTGAGTAAAAGAGAAAGGCAGAATTATTGCACAAGGGAATCCGGAGTCCCTTACCTCTATATGAGGCAGCTCCCTCTCCTCAGAAAAACCCAAGCTTTTGAAAACTTCAGACACTCTCTTTAGTCTGGTTTTTCAGAACTACATTACAAGCCACTAATACTTGTAAACCTACCCCACTTGTAAAGCCTTCTTCAATAATGCAAAAGAAGAGCTCTATCTCCCTTTTATTTACCGCTTATTTCCACTAGACCAGTAGTTCTAGTGTTGTAAGTATTTATTTTCTTGTTGAAATATTTTATATTTATCAGTCATGTTTCATTCCTATCTATCTTCTGAGAATTCCGCATACATGTCTTTTTATTTGGGCCCTGCTTTTGCCTGTGAGAATCCTGCTTTTTAGGGAAAGGAGATCCTATGCAGACTTGTGATATTATTTTTACACAGAGTGGACAGCTTTTCTTTCTTTTTTGAAGAAAGTAATGATTGAAGCCACTTTATGTAAACCATAATTCACGGGCATGCAAGGTCAGGAGTGAGATCATCAACATCAAAGTCTTCTATTCCTTCATACGGATCCTGAGCATATCCTGGAGGAAGATCTGTTGTGAAAGATCCTTGGGAAGACGATGAGTCACTGTCTGAGTCAAGTTGATCCAAGAGCTTCTTGAGGAGTTTTGATTTGGGCTTCTTCTTGCTGGACTTCTTGCTAGAGCCTTTAGAACCCTTAGATGAAGATTCTTCTGGTCTGGTCTGTGCTATAAGAAGGCTAGCCTGGCTTGATTGAGCGGACAATTCCTTCACTGGTGTTGCTGGTTGTAAGGGGCCTGGAACTACTACAGGAGTTGGGACCCTTACAGGGAAGTCCTGTTTCACCATGGCAATAATGTCACTATGCTGAAACCTGGGCCACCATTTGACATAAAATTGCCGAGTTAGATTAAATCCAACAATTTCCCATTGCCATTTGAGTATCCAGGGAACTTTGTACCTGCAAATAAATATTAGTAATAAGGGAAATGGGGACTCCTGTTTACTAGGACGGTAAGAGGAGTAGAAGATATTGATTTGATCTTTGAGATCAGCTGGAAAGATTTCATCAATGGGACCATGTTGATGCCACCACTGTTTAAACCATGCAGGAATATGGCTTTTGAAATCTTTATGAAAATTTAAGAACCAAGAATGGGACAAATCCTCATTTTGGTAGAGTAATACTTTTGATCATGACTCAATGTAGTCATAGTAATTAAAATGTCTGGTGTGAAAGGGAAGTTCTCTGAGCAAAGAAGGATGAGAACCCCATTCCTCAACAGAAATAATCTTGGTTATGACCAAACTATGATAGAGAACCTTATTTGGGTTAATCTTATCAAGGATGGGCTTAGTATGGATAGATTTGGTATAGTAGAGAATATCTTGGTAAAAACTATGGGGTTTTTCCAAGTCTACTGGAATATAGGTCCAACCTTTTGGGAGGTAGGCCTTTACAAGTTCTTTTGGATCCTTATATTTAGAATGGGCTAGTTCAATGGCTAGAACATTCTGGGATGTCAAAAATATAGCTGCTAAGCAAATTTTTGCTAGATGGCAATCTATTTTAAGTATTTTCGATTTTGATATAGAATATATCAAAGGAGAATATAATTATATTTCCTGTCTTCCATGAGGTTCCTGCAAAAATTCTCTGGTTAGGAAATCAATATTTTACAAAAAATAGAGTCATTACAAGACCATTTGAACTAATACTTGAGAATCAGATTCAATCAAATACAACCTTGAGCACAAATTAAGATCATGGCAAACGAATAACACACAAAACATAATTAAACCCACCAATCCAACAAATTCAAAATTTAATTCACAAGCAAGGCACGAGTAACTGTACATACGACCTTGATAAACATATAAATCAGGCCACAATAAGCTACCAACCCAAACTGCTCACTCTTCCACTGGCAAGTTAAAGGAAATGTCAACTTTTATCTTATCTGAAGCAATTTTGTATGCTGCCTCGTGGCGGTGTGCCATTGTAAGGCTATCTAATTTTGACAACTCTGCTAGGATGGCATGTCTACTTGTAGATGCATCTTGCTCGTAGCATACTCTCTGTGTAATGCTTGCTAGTTGGTTCTCACTTGAAACAATGTAATCGCCAAATACCTTACATATCTGGGAAAGACTTGTATAGCCATTGAATCGCTTAGATCACTAGATTTTCTTTTTTTTTTTTGTCTTACGTGTCTGTGGGGTGACATTCACACCCTCCTTGCCCTGAGTTACATTTTGAGAGTGGCTAACAGCATCCGTTCCCCTAGTTGGATGAGCCTCTACATTGGCATCATCAGGGACATCCCCAGCAACTGAATTATCTTCAATCATTTCCTCTAGTCCTTGGGCAAACTCACCCGTTGCCCTATCTTAACCAAATATAAGGACCCAACCATCATATTACGCACACAAACTCACCCGTTGCCCTATCTTAACCAAATATAAGAGTTCTTATATTTGGTCTCTAAATGGAGCTAAGAACCCTTCCTCATTTGTGTAACCGGCATCCACTAGGTAGTAGGTGTCTGCGTAAAAATTGTGGTTTTGTAAGAACACTCCTACTACCAAATATAAGAACCCTTCCTCATTTGTGTAACCGGCATCCACTAGGTAGTAGGTGTCTGCGTAAAAATTGTGGTTCTGTAAGAACACTCCTACTAATTGTTAGAGAAAATAATACTAGTGGTCATACATAACTTATCCCGAGCCACTTTAAAGTCATTCCTCCTCATTACCGCATCTCATAATATCCTAGAATCAGAAGTCAACCCTTTTCCAACCGGGCAAGACATAAATGAATTTCATATCTTGGGAGCACACACCATGGCCATTTGTTGAAATGTCACCATGTCTATTCCTATATCTAGCTTGGTGAATCATTGGTACCCTTGCTCTAACGTGCGTGCTATCTAGTGCACCTACGCAATTCTACAAATAAAAAATAATGAAACAAATTATATTTTGTTACCATTCATCCAAATTTTATCCAATTTCATATGAAACAATTGTAAGGTTTCATTACCTTAAACCACCGCCACTTGTTATCTGTACAGTCCTCGGTTACCGGATTGGGCCTCGTTAATAGCAGATGATGCAACTTAATAACTGACTTCAATACAACATTGAAATGCTTGCTTATAGTTTTGCCTTATCTAAGAAAGTTGAACCTTATTGGCCTATTCTTCACATCATGACCCAATATATTTAGGAACATAGCCACCATTTCTTCAACGCTTACATATCTCGTGCGATTTAAGCCACCTATTTGTTCCACGAAATTACAAAGAACGCGAAAAGTGTGTCTATCCATCCTCAGTTGTTCTATGCAATTAATGTCACTATCACTAATTAGACGGTGCAAGTGTTCAAATTGCAATCGATTTCTAGACAATTGACTTGATGGTTGTGGTTTTGATTGTGTCTCTATTTCCCATAGCACAAGTATAAGGACCACAAAAAAATAGAACATTACTATCATCTCTCTTCTCATCATATCCAACACAACAATCAATCCACCAATGTCATCAATATGGTTTGGCATTTTATCTGCTGAACGCCATTGCAATTTCTTGTATAAAGGTCACGTCAATATTAAATATAGTATTCATGTAACACAATTGAAGCTAAGCAAAAGAAAACATTAATGCCTACCATAGTGCGCAATATAATAGAAAACATTGCAATATAAAATTCATAGCACGGAACCATACCGAGCAATTTAGTGCGCAATATAATAGCAAGAATAATCACAATTGTTTATCACTCATGGTGCAAATATTTATGGAATCATTGATGATAAAAAATTATCAGACTTAAAAACAAATGGAAGATTAAGAAAAAAGAAAAGAAGCCACAATATTGGAATATAATATACTTACAATTGAATCTGATGTGAAGTTAAAATATTGAAGCAAAATTGCCAAGACCAAAAAGACAATCTCAACAACAATTCCCAATGACTCAGGCCTGCAAAATACAAAAGATCATTGGTTTCTATCTTGATCAAAAGAAGCTAATGAACTAGCAGATATCATTTATAGAACTCAATGTTTGGTAATCAGGTAAAATGATGTTACAGTCAAGTAAGCTCCTCTTTTACACTTGAAACTGACTATGTTATAAATTTCCAATAACAAAGTTTGTCCAAAAAAACATCCCTATTGGTACCACATACATGCAATACAAATAAAATCCTTTTATGTAAAATACATTCACACATATAGGACAAAGTGATCCACAATCTATCTAAAAACTAGAATAAACTACTCAAAGCCTACAAAAAACTCTTGTTGTGGTGTTTTATTCAAAAGTTAGAAATTAAATTCAATATGATTCCAATTCAATTTTATAAGAAGTTCAATCTAAAGGAGTGAGAACTAGAAAAAAATGAACTAGATATGGCTCATTTAATTTAAATGCATTATCATGAAAATATAATTTTTAAACTTTACAATAAATAAAAATGCAAAATGGTATAGAATTTGGGTAGCCAATTTCTTGCAAAGAGTTAATAAAATTTTAGCCATCGAGATGTAGAGAGTATTGAACAAGCAATTTAACTTTGTAAGATAAATTTTCCGAACTGAAAAATAAAATTTTAAGGCATAGACTTAGGAAATTTAAGGCATGAATTATTATAGGCATTCAACAAACTAAGTTGATTACGACAATAATGACAAAGTGCTAGAGACGGACAGATCCCGGGGTATTCGGAAGTGAAGTTTTAGGGCGGGATGTGTTTATCGGACCATATTTCTAAAGTCCATCTAACCAGATGAAGCCGCACTACAAAGATTCTAACTCAATGCAAGAGCATAAAATAAATCAACATCTAAACCATCTAAACTCTCAAATAAAATCAAACAAACTTGTAACCCCTTCCAAATGTGAAATGGGTAGTGGACATTTTTAGTAAAAGTTCACTTGAGTACCCAGTTCAAGAATGAAACATCTGTTCCTAAGCCTCTACCAAATGTGAAATGGGTACTAGCAGATTTGTTCCTATCACCCTCTGTTCATCGCAGATCTGTTAAGATTAAGATCAGTAAAGATCTAAATATGTTCGTTAAACTCAGATCCAGACCTGTTCGTCAAACAGAGGGTGCACGAAACTAGATCTGGTCTTTGGTGTGTATTCTTCGTTCTGTCCAGAGAGATAGAGAGAGAGAGAGAGAGAGAGAGACATAACAATAGAGATAGAGAGAGCGATGAGAATCTTACCTCAAGAAGAAGCCTTTGTGCAAACCCTTAGACAAGCTTAGCTGACACAGGAGAAAGAGAGAAGAAGGATTTGTCGCTGGACAAAACAACGTGGAGAAAGAGAAGGGGCAAATACGTCTTGAGGGGGGCAACCAATTGGATGGGTTTGTAACCCAGGGGGGCAGGGTTATCTAAGACCGGCTATGGGGGTTAATATTCAATTGTAGCAACCGGGTCATGCATGTACCCGGGATTCGTAGCCAATCTAAAAAATGCTTCCCAAACAAAGGTTATATGGGTCCCTCTCCTATTTTATCTCATCCAACTAGTGGATAACTCCCTTTATCCCACTATCCAAACACCCCCAAGAAGGATTTGTCACTGGACAGAACAACGTGGAGAAAGAGAAGGGGAAAATACGTCTTGAGGAGGGGGAGGGGGTAACCAATTGGCTGGGTATGGAACCCAGGGGGGCTGGGTTTTCTAAGACCGGCTATGGGGGTTAATAATCAACTGTAGCAACCGGGTCAAGCACGTACCCGGGATTTTTAGCCAATCTCAAAAATGCTTTCCAAACTAAGGTTATATGAGCCCCACTCCTATTTTATCCTATCCAACTAGTGGATAACCCCTTCTATCCCACTATTCAAACACCCCCCTAAGAGTTTATAATCGATCAAAGGCGTCTGTAATTGATCATGGGTATCTGTAATCGATCATAGTCTTTCCCTGAACATTTCAAAGTTATAACTTTACCATAAAACATGATAACTGATAGTACCAATACGGAAAACTTTTTTTTGAGACAATAGACTTTCCCAAATTTGAGATATGCATTGGAAAACACTTGTACCAAAGAGTTTTTTTAGTTACAAAAACCGAAGAATACTACGACTTAAGTTACACAATAAAATCATAAGTTACAATTATTATTAACTGATAATAATATTTCAAGATCGATCACAACTAATTAAGAATAATCTCAATCCGTTATAACTTTATATTTACAAAATCTATTTTTACTTTTAAATAATGTTTGACTTTTAAAAATTATATTTTGCTTGATTGATTCCAATGTTTTGTGATCACTCATATTTTTTTGAGTTATAATAGAAGGATCCAAAAGCCTCATCCCAATTTTGTCAATGAAGTTTTTGATAGCCGGAATTTTTTGGGAGTCCTCCTTTTTTGGGGGCTAGAAAGCCCCTATAAATAAAAAGTTAAATGAAAATCAAAATCATTCCAAAAATAGTGAAGAAGAAACAAAGAGAAAGATTCTAGAGAGGTATTGAGAGTTTTTTTTGTGAAAAATTCTTATATTTATTTTCAAAGAGAAATAAAGAATTCTTCTTTGTTTATATTGTGTCAGATGTGATTTTTTTACTCTGGCCCACAAATAAGTGGTATCAAAGCTTTCGTTGGCTCACACGGAAATTTTTTCTAATTCAATGTTCCTGGTTCGTACGGTTCTAAATGAATTCGAAATCAAATTCTGATGGCACCATTGGATTCCTTGTCAAAATGAGTCGAACCCCATTGATCTTGCATCAATTTGACGTCAGCCGCTCTCTCACAGTCCTTGTCGGAAGTTCGCCGAAAAAATCACCTGTTGCCGAAGTTATTGTCGGAGTTCGCCAAAAAAGTTTGTCAGATCGGTGACAAGAGGAAGGTGGAAGACAACGAAATATTCCACTCCGTCAAGGAATATTCTATCTCAATCATCGAATATTTCATCCAGTCAAAGAATACTCCCAGAGAATATTCCATCCAGAGAATATTTCATTTAGAGAATATTCTGTCACTATCAGCATATTCCCTCTAGTTTAACGGAATGTTAGGTTTACCAAAAAAATTTTGAGCCAGTTCTGAGCTCATTTAAGCTTCGTTTTTGGTGAATCACGACTTTTTTCCAGTTATTTCAATTGTTCTAGACGCAACGGTGCACTCTGTTTTTCTAAAATTTAGTCCTGAAATTTTTGATCGAGACATTTAGCACCTAAAAATACAAAAAATGTCCATGGAGGAATCAACGTAGGGAGCTATGATCAAACTCACTGCCTCCAATTATACATTTTGGAGACCTCGGATGAAAGATCTCTTTAGTTGTAAAGACTTGTACGATTCCTTAGAGG